GCTGGATGTTCTCTATTTACAAAGCGATGGATCATGATGAACAACTCTACATGAGAAACTCTTCATCTTCCAAGGTTGAAGGACATAGAAAGATAATGCTGAAAATGACAAGTAGAAATAAGCTCACTTTCAATGAAGTTCTTCATGTTCCCAATATTCGAAAGAATTTGGTATCCGATTCGTGTTAAGCAATAGCCGGTTTAAGTTAGTATTTATTTTGGAGAAATTTGTAGTTACAAAGAACGACATGTTTGTTGGAAAGGGATACCTGAATGAGGGGCTCTTTAAGTTGAATGTAATGATTGTTGTACCTCATATTCTGAATAAAATTACATTTTCTTCTTACATGCTTGAGTCGTTTAATATTTGGCATGAACAATTAGAACATATAAATTATAATACTTTGCATAGACTAATCAAATTGGATTTATTGCCAAAGTGCAATTTAGATCCTAATCACAAATGAGATATATGTATAGAAGCCAAAATGGCTCATTTTCCCTTTCGTTCTCTTGAAAGAAGTATCGAACCCCTAGATTTAATTCACACCGATATATGTGATTTAAAGTTTGTTCATACTAGAGACGGTAAAAAGTGCTTTATCATTTTTATCGATAATTGTACTTGATATTGCTATGTGTATTTACTCAAAGCAAAGATGAAGTAATTGAAGTGTTTAAACACTATAAGTAAGAAGTTGAGAATCAACTTAGTTAAAAAGATTAAGACAATAAGAAGTGATAGAGACGATGGATATGATCCTCTATTTGAACAATTCACTTCGGAACATGGAATTACTCATCAACTACCGTGCCTTATTCTCCTTAATCTAATGGTATTGCTGAATGAAATAATCGAACATTAAAGAAGATGATGAATATTGTGTTGATAAGTTCTGGATTACTGTAGAACTTGTGGGGGAATCTTTGTTTTTTGCCGATTATATTCTCAACAAATTACCATTGAAAAACACATAACATACCATATGAATTATGGAAATGTCACAAGCCTAACTATAAATATTTGAAGGTATGGGGATGCTTGGCCAAGGTAGCAATTCCTAAACCTATAAATGTTAAGATAAGATCTAAAACCATAGATTGCGTATTCATTGGTTATGCCTACCATAGTAGCGCATACAGATTTATTGTACATAAGTCTGAAATACTCGACGTGCATATTAATATGATTATTGAATCGAGGGATTATACATTTCTCGAAAAAAAAAATTTCCTTATAACATGCAAAATGAATCAAATTTACTAAAAATGCCTCGTGAAAATGAAGAAGTTGTTGATCGAGAATCTATAAATGAATAAGAACTTAGACGCGGTATGAGGGCTAGGAAGACATCCTTCTTTGAGCCTGTTTTTCTAACATATTTATTAGAAATGAACCTTAAAGTTATAAAGAGGCTATGTCATCGATCAAAACTTTCATATTGGAAATAAGCTATTCATAGTACAATTGAATCCATACAACAAAATCATACACTAGAATTAGTAGACTTTCCTCCTAGTAATAAGCCATGCGGGTATAAGTGAATTTTCACAAAGAAAATGAAAGCAAATGGATTAATTGATAAATATAAAGTTAGATTTGTTGCTAAATGCTACAAGAAAAAAAGTCATGATTATTTCGATACAAATTCACCTGTAACAAGAATTATTTCCATACGATGCTTATTGCGATAACGGCATTGATTGATTTGGATATACATTAAATAGATGTTAAAACGATTTTTTTATTTTTTGAATGATGAATTAAATGGAGAAATTTATATGGAGCAATCTGGAGGATTTATGGTCTCAGGACAAGAAAAGAAAGTATGTCGACTTATTAAATCGCTTTATGAATTAAAGCAGACTCCTAAGAAATGGCATAAAAAATTTAACATGGTAATGATGTCAAATGATTTTAAAATTAATGAGTGTGACAAATGTGTGTACATCAAGAGCACTCTAAATGGATATGTCATGGTATGTTTATATGTAGATGACATGCTGATTATGGGTAATAATGATACCATAATTCAAACTACTAAAAAGATGTTGACAAGTAAGTTAACAAATGTGTGTATGTCAAGAGCACTAAAATGGATATGGTATGGTATGTTTATACGTAGATGACATGTTAATTGTGGGTAACAATGATACCATAATTCAAACTATTAAAAGAATGTTAACAAGTATGTTTGAAATGAAGGACTTGGGGGGTCGCTGATGTTATATTAGGAATTAAAATTTCTAGAATATCTGATGGTCTCATATTATCTCAATCACACTACATTGAGAAAATTCTTGATAAGTTCAAGAAATATGATATCATTCCTATGAAAACATCAACAGATGCTAGTATGCATCTTGTTTTTAATACTGGTGATAGTATGTCTCAATTGAAATATTATCGTATTATTGACAGTTTAATGTATATCATGAATTGTACTCGATTTGATATTATTTATTCTATTATTAGGTTAAGTCGATATACGAGTAATTCGAGAACTGAGCACTGGAAGACAATTGTTAGAGTTTTAGGGTATTTAAAACGTACCAACAACTTCTGATTGCACTATTGAGATATCCAGCAGTACTTGAAGGATACTACGAGATAAATTGGACATCAGATACTAAAGACACCAAGTCGATAAGTGGATATGTATTTACACTTGGAGGAGCTGTAGTATCATGAAAATTTTCAAAACGGACATGTATAGCTAGGGGTGTCAACGAGCCAAGCCGAAACTTTTTGCTCTAGCTTGACTCGAGTAAAAATAGTTCTAGTTTTTTTTTTTGGCCCGAGCTTGGCCAAAAAATTTAGGTTCGATTTTTTTTTTTTAATTCGTGACAAATCAAAAATTTTTTTTTTAATAGAATTTAAAATTTGTGCAATTTATACGTATTATAAATAATAACTAAACATTAACATATAAAAAAAATGACAGCTAAAGTCAAAAGAAAAAAAAGTGGCAGACAAGTTTTTTTTTTTTAGGCTCACGAGCCTGGTCGGGCTGACGCCCCAAAATGGAGCTTGGCCTGAGCCTCGGCTCTATCCCACCGAGCCACGAGTCGACCCAGATTGGGCTTTTTTCGGACTGAGCTCGAGCCGGCAAGCCACTTTCTCATCCTTATATAGCTAGATCAACGATGAAATCTGAATTTATTGTATTAGACAAAGTTGGAGAAGAAGCCGAATGATTACGAAACTTTCTAGAAGATATTCCATATTGGATAAAACATGTGCATGTTGTATGTATCCACTGCGATAGTCAATAAAATGTGTATGCTATATGTATCCATTGCTATATACAAGTCTTTTCAAAACACCAACATCTGATATGTCGTAGACACAATACAGTTAGACGGTTGCTTTCTATTTATATTATCTCTATATATTATGTAAAATAAAATAGAATATTGCGGATCCACTAACTAAAGGTTTAAAGAGAGAGCAAGTCAAAATTTCATCGAAGGAGATGGAGTTAAAATCGATAAAATAATCAAGAGTTTCCATGGTGACAACGTAACATAGTTGATTAGAAATCCCAAGATTTAATTTCAATGGGACTACCGAACTGAGAAAAACTTAGTACGCATTGAGAAGATTTTTTACTTATACCTATTCCTATGATGAGCATGCCTAACTACCGAGAAATGGGTTAAATTAAGCTTTTAATGATATTTATATCTTGATTCCTTCAAGTGAAATATACCAGAATACTCTATATGGAGATCACTTATGTTGGTGAGAAATAATCCACTTGAAACTATAAACTATTGAAAATTTTGATTTATTGAAAATTGTCAAAACACTTATCTCATATAAGGAAAGTTATGAAATTTTAGTATGGTTTATACAATGGAAGTTTGAGAATTTGGTTTAGGCCCCAAATGGTACCAATAGTCCAATAGTCTTTGGAAGAAGGAAACCTATATTTTATTGGGTTCGGTCCTAAGTCCGCACTCGCACCATTGTCGCTATCCGTCCTGCCAGCACGGCATGAGCACTTGCCCGTGCCTGGGTGCGGTTCATGTTTGGGTGCAGGTGGGTCTTTGTACTATATTTAATTTTTGGACAAAATTTATTTAAATTTTTGGGTCAAATTGTAATTAATTAAATTCTTGAGTACTTAATGATATTAATTTTAATTGGCTTATTTCAGGTAATTTTTTTGGTCTGAATTTTTTGTTAACCGACATAATAGTCGTCTGTTAACAAACGCAGACGTTTGTTAACTGACTTAACAAACGTAGCACTAAACAGTGCTGACTGTTCGAGTTTGAAGGTTGTCTGAGCAGTGACGACTGTTCTAAAAAGGCTTGAAGGATGTTCGAATGACCACGAACGAGTCTATAAATAGCCCGTCCTACTGTCAAATAATTACACAATTTTCATTGCAAACTTTCTGTACTTTGAATCTCATTGTCTCTGGCTTTGATATTGTTCTCGGAGTGAAAATATCTCATTGAGTTCATTGGAACTCCTACAGATTGTTGTGCTGGTTCTGTATCTGACAAAATTCGTTATATCCTAAGAAACGATTGCCGAACACTTTTATTACCTTTGAAGATAGTAAATTCGTTTTAAGAAAACATCATAAAGTCGGTGAGCTTGAATTAATTTTCTGATCTTATCATATTGTTACACTATGCAAATTACATTAAGATAATTCTACTAGTGTTTGTATATTCAGATTGTTCGTAGGAGGAATTTATACTCCAGTATCAACAACCCTATCTGAGGATCGGTTTAATAAATGCTATATATGCAGGAAGGGAGATGCACATTTGATGATAAGCCATTTACAGAAAGTTAAGCTTCAACAGTTTCCAATTATACTATATGTATGCAGATATGTAAATGATATTTGTATGTATTTTGGCATTGGACATGAATCTACAAGTTGTAGTAGCTAGGGAAATAAACCAAGGTACCTAAGTAAGCCAAAAAGAAAAAGAGATGTCCTTGTTATTGTCTCTCTCCTTTTCAATCCTAACCAAATGACACTAGCAAGCACCTGCTGGCCAAGTTTATCCCCGATCACTCCTTTTCAAAGTCACGAGACCCTCTGTCCTGTGATGTGCTTTCAATTCTCCAGTGGGGCTGACAGAAAAAAATAAAAACTCAGAAGCTATCCATTCTTCACCATCACTTAACGAGCCTCTACATTTCAGTCCCAGACTCAAAGTCTTATAATTTCCCAAGCTTTAGTTATCTTCCCTTGGAAAGATTGTTCTTCACATTATTTTCTGTCTCTCTGGCGGGGTACCATGTAGGTCTCACCCCAAAAACTCCCCCTCCCCCAGATGCTGCTGTTGCTGCACCTTATCTTCTTCTCTATATCCTTGTTCTTCAACTCTTTTGTATACCCTTTAACTTATTCTCTTTAATTGTTCTTTTGTGTTTTTCCCAGGAGATCAGAGGAAAATCCATTAGATCTCAATAACTTACCTGAAGATTACACGAGAGATGATAATGAGGTTTCTGATAATAGTTCTTCATCTCCTGGTATATCCCTTTGTCTTAAGTGCTATTAACTGTCTTTTAGAGTTCATAATACTTCTTTTGGTTGTCTTTTTCCTAGATAGAAAGCTAAGATAGTTGAACTATTCATTTTTATTTTTTCCGAAAAATAGTTAGCTATCAAAGATCAAGAGAAAAACCCCTTTTTGTTTTTGGAATTCACTCCATGTTTTAATCTACGAACTTTCTTCAAATTTCAAAATTTTGCTACTCCATCTTTTTCAAGATTTTGTTTTTTTTTTCTTTTCTAAATATTTTCCTGTAATAGTGTTTCTTGGCTTTAGGAGTATCAATGCGAAGCCCTAGACAGGAAAAGGACAAGACAGGAAAAGTTTGTGGCTGGAATATTCATTTATGATCTGGGCAATTAGGGTTTGAGTTTGGGTATAAACTTAGGGTCATCAAAGTTGCTTTAATTGGCATTTTTGCAGCTGCTGGCTACAGGAAAAAGAAAAGCGGCGGTAAGGATGGAAAAGACGATTCCGGTAAGGTCCATGAGTGTAGGTTTTGTTCCCTCAAGTTCTGCAAATCTCAAGCCCTTGGGGGACACATGAATCGCCACCGCCAAGGCAAGTTTTTCCAGTTCGATTCATTTCACCACCCTTTTATAAATTATATTTTCCTTTTAGGCATGTATAGGATTTAAAAAAGAAAGGTTTTTCTGCATTTTTCTTGAAAGATCAAGGCAGGTAGTAGTAGCTAGGGCATGAGTTTCAGTAAAGTTAGTTATTAAAATATTGGAAGACTGAATATTTTTGGCCAATGATTTTTCCTTTTTTGAAGCATTGTCACGTCAATCTAGTTTTCTCTCATAAAAAAATGTTGTCGAATCTTTCTTTTTTGCTGAAATTCTTGTTAGCATGATTTGATTTGATTAATAATGTCTGTGTATGTTCCTCAGAGAGGGAGACAGAAACACTGAACAAGGCTCGTCAACTGGTCTTCACTAACGATTTAGCTCCAGGAGCTCATCACCTAGGGTATCTTCCAGGGTATGTGCCCTTCCCCGAATTCCCCCTCTCCCACCCTCTCTCGTTTTTACTTTTTACCCCCTTCCCTTTCTCACTTTTATGCATTTTTTTACCTGTCTTCCTGAGTAAAGGCTTGAAATACTTAAGACTGCTTCTCTAATTTTCTTTTTGTTTCTCACTTTTTATTTTGGCAGTGGCCAACAAATTCCAAATGGAGGGTTTCATCAACCTCCAGGCAACATGGGTGATGCAACAATGCCATTCAGAACAATGTACCCTACAAGGCTTTTTTCCGGTTCTTCACCACTCTTGCCATCACCTCCACCAGGCCAACCACCACCGCAGCCACCATACATTTACACGTCTCCATCACGTCTCCTCCCTTTGCATTCGCAGTATCCGGCACAACCGGTGAATGACTACTTTGTTGGCCATGCTGTCTCTGGTTCCAATTCTAGGTATGCAGCATCTCCACCAGATACTAATTACACTTGCATCGGTGCACTGTTGGGGCATGGATTTCCACATGGCACTGCCCCCAGCACTGGCAACAGCTCGGCCCCTGGTGTAGATGGTGTTAGAGACGTTTCAATGCACATTCAAGACGAAGGATTGCATTGGGACAGGAGGTAGAACACGACAACAGTGAAATATCTAATATTGAACTATCAGTTTCAAGAAAGATTCTATATTAAATCCTACTGTGATTTTTTTTTTTTTTTTTTGGACGAACGAGAGTGCAAGTTTTAATCTGCTGTATGACACGGCACTCTCACTGAATAAGAATCCGAACAAACTGACAAATGGGGATGTGCAAAGAGAGAAATTTTGGTTTTTCTACAGGTTTTGTGAACAGGCTTTTTGAGCCCTCACGCATTTGCACGAGCCTGCTATCAGTTTGAAGCATGGATTTTTCTTTGGCTGTATAAAAGACTATGAAAATGGAACCAACTTCATAACCAAGGGTGGGGCAACTAGTTAGATTTCAACAAAAAGTAGCCAACCAGATTGTAATTTTCCCTATGGGGATTAAATTCTAACATCCTGTTTCTTCTCTCCCATGCAAATATTACTTCAAACAAACAGCTTCAGCCATAAATTTGTTAAATTAGGTTTCTACTACTTAGGTTTCAGAATTAAAAATCAAATTATAGCTTTATCATTTTCAGGTGATCATCGAATGAAAAGTTAAGATTTCTCTTTATCTCCGTCTAACTTGCTGTATCATATGCGAATTGACAAATATTTAATCTCTTAAATTTAGAAATATTCTCAAAATTATCGTACTTTTTTATCTGTTCGTTGTTTGCTGTATCAAACTCAATATTTGAAAGACAAAAGGAAAAAATAAGACGTGTAATACCGACTTTAGTACCAATGGTCAGAGTTGAACATGTTTGCATGTTATTTTGAAATACTTTATAAGCGCTGTAAAAATAATATTTGATATCAATTTGTTGAGAGGGTTTGATGAGTTTCAAGCGAATTAAAGAAAATAAAATTTAGGATATGATGCAAGGGAAGCTTATAGGAAAGACAAAAATCTCACAAAAAGAATTTCAATCAAGAGAAATTCAAGAAAAAACTTTATTTCATTCAAAACTGAGCTGCCTCAAAAGGTTTACAACGTTTAAATAGCGAAACCCTAATAAAATTTGGAAAGAAATTACATAATAATAAAAAATATTATTTTTTTCAAAAATGGAAAAAATTGAGATAATCACGGATCTTGATTCTCCTAATCATCAGGATCGTCCCCCAACAAACGGAAATCAAATCCGAGTTTATTTGACTAAGATATTG